ATAACCGAATTAGATATCAAAAATGGATAAATCCAAGTTAATTTGTCACCTTAATTAAAGTCCCAGTAAATCCCAGAGCGATGTCACGAAATAGACGCAAAAAGCGACTCCACCCTGGCATTTTACCTGGCTCCATTATTTTCCCGGTGTCTTTTAAATGTTAAGGCGAAAATAGCTCGACTGACCTAAATATCCAAGTGCCTAGCCTTTAAAATAAACGATTTTTATGGCATCAATCTATATAGGTATTTCGCTGCGATTCAAAAATAGCTTTACGATCTTCAAAGTTAAACAGGAAAACTCGACATAGTGCATCACGTCTTTTAAAATATTACTGAAATTGCATTAAAATTAAAAAATAGCTTTTGTTAACATATTACAATTTTTTGTAATACCCTGTATATTTTAATTTTTTTTTTGTAAAAAGTTTAAAAAATATGCATCATATTATATTTATCTAGTTAGCCTTTTAAATTAAATTGTAACAAGTAATAATATTATGGCAGCTTAGAAATTCATCAGCCCCGGATCTACAATTTTTTTCAACCGGGGCAAAAAATTGATAGTAGCGCCCCCTGTCTCCAGCGCCAACCTTTGAAATAAATTAATTTAAAAAACTTACAAATATCTAAATATACAGTTCATATCAAATAAACTTTTAGTCACGTGATTAAGCTTGATGGGCACAGCGTTGTCCACTTTTATATATTTTCTTTTAATCAAAATATTTTAGGTAACAAAAATAAATTAATTATAAATATATAAACAGTTATTATTTACATCAACAGAACTCACCTTCTTAACAGCACTTAAGGGACTTAAAGGGCCATTACTGCTGCTTTCCCATAATAAATTTGCGATGAGTTTGTTACAGCTATTAAGCTATCTTGTACACTTCGCACTAAAAGAGGTTCTAAAAAGAACAATGTTCGACTGCAAGGTCTGCTAGTAAACATTTTCGAGCTTAAAGTATCAAAACACTATTTATTTAACCCAAAAACTCGTAATACAAAACTAAAGTCTTAAAACGAATGACAATGTCAGGAAATAAATAAATAAATGCGGCAACTTGACATTTTTTACAGCAGAGCTACCACCTGAATCCCCAGCGCGAATGTTAAATTCTAGTTAGTCAGCACGGCGTCGAATATGTCCATGGTTGGCACCAATGAATTTAAAAATCGCGCTCTCGATTACGTAACTAAAAAAGGCTAAAAGTTTAATTGATATGAAATATAGGTATTTTTCGTAAACGGGACAGTTAACAGACTAACTGGACGTTTTAAAATTAAATGAATACTCGATAGAAGAACGTTAAGGTGCATATTAGGCGCTTTGTGGAGCAATTTTTTTGATTTTCAACCATATTATATTATGATTTTGGCGCCCCCTGACACTGGCACCCGTGGCAGGCGCCCCGGTTTGCCCCCCCCCCTTAGATCCGGGACTGAAATTCATTATGTACAATTATTATGTAAATTGATATACAAGTTCATACCAAATAAACTTTTAGTCACGTGATTAAGTTTGACCGGCACAGCGTTGCCCACTTTTATATATTTTCTTTTCACGAAACAAAAATAAATTATTTATAAATAATATATAGTCTGTCCAACGAGAAGATCCTTGACAGTGATAGATGTGTCTGTCATTTTAATTTCAAAGTAGTTTATTTTATTTTACAAAGAAATAAGTTGGTACAACTGGAACGCATAGCAGGATATATTTAAAATTTGATTGACAAGATGACAAGTGATTACTTCAAAATATTGTGAAAAAAACTGTATAAAACTGAAAAAATGTAATCGAGTTATTTTATTTAATAAAAACGGTATGTGTTAATACAAAACAAACAAGAACAAGACACTACATACCAAAAAAAATATAAAAAAGAACTATTATTTACTTTCAAGCTTTATGAAACTACCCGCATTTATGATTATATTTATCAATATAACTTATGTACAAGTACAAATTTGTAATATTCCACAGGAATAAATAAAACAACATAGGTAAATAAAACAAACTATTTTAATAATAATAACACCTACCAAATTTTATACCTTAAAGGTTGATTAATTAACTTTAATCTTAATTTTTTTAAACCAGGACCTTTGGCATTATTTTTCTGCAGTACTAAAATTCATTATTTACCTCTCGTGTGATGTCGATATTTTACAACTACTCCAGTTTTTAGTATATGTTTAGTTTGATCCTTCTACCATATACGAGATGCACTTATCTACGACGAAATGGTATACAAACTTTATAGATGGCAACTTCATTGGTGTATAAGACTTTCTGCCTGGACAGCGAGTATTAACCATAAACTAGGGTCTACAGTTAATTTTCACTCGATTTTTCCTCCACTTGACTTCAAAAGACACAAAACACACGTAATAATACGAATCAAAATGCATCATCTTCCAAAACGCAGGGTATTTAACAAAAGTTGACAGAAAATTATAACCTATAATTTGGCAAGACTTTGACAAGCGTCAAAAATGACAAAAATCTAAAGGCGAGTTCATACGCATCGGTGTCCGTTTGTCGTTCATCATTCCGTCAAACCAATAAAAATGAAATACGATCTGTCATTTTTTAAATAAACCAATAAAACTGGTTAAAAACAACAAGACACGACGTATGACGGATTTATATTTAAACCCATCCATAGATAACTTAAAAATTATTAGAAACTTTTTTTAGTAAAATAAATAGATTGGTATGGGACGTCATCTGCTTTTCTTCTGTCATCGTCTGTCGAAATCTTACCTGAGAAAAAAAACAGAGTATAAACGGTTATTATTTACATCAACAAACACTCACCTTCTTAACAGCACTTAAGGGACATAAAGGGTCATTACTACCGTTTTCCCCTGCAAAATATTCGTTGTGATGAGTTTTTAACGGCTATTAAATAAGCTATCTTGTATACTTCGCAGTCTTCGCACTAAAAGAGGTTCTAAAAAGAACAATGTTCGACTGCAAGGTCCGTTAGTAAACATTTTTGAGCTTAAAGTATCACAACTCTATTTATTTAAACCAAATAAAAAACTCGTAATACAAAACCGTAAAATAATTAATACAAAACTAGTGTCAGCCGTGTCAGCTAGTGTAAAAACAAATGGCAATGTCAGGAAGTAAATAAATGACATTTTTTGCAGCAGTGCTACCATCTGAATTCCCAGCGCGAAATTTAAATTCCAATTAGTTAGCCCGACACCGAATATACCCATGGTTGACAACAGTGAATTTAAAAATTGGGCCCCCGATTGCGTAACTAAAAGAAGAATATATCTTTATAAACTATGGAGTCTAAAATAGGAGCCCTCCATAATATAAACAAGGCTAAAAGTTATGGCACGTTATGGTAAAGTTTAATTGGTATCAAAATAAATATGTAATCATTTCTAGAGCCACAATTTGAAAAGTAGCGATCGGGAAAACGTGAAGTACCGTAAAACGGGGCTACTTCGGACAGTTTTTGAGGTTTTTTGTAAGTTTCTTGACCTAAGTGTGTTTAAATTCAACCAATAATTTTTGTGTGGGTTACTATATCCTTCCCCTATGTCTAACTAAAAAAAATGTTAAACTTTCTTTTTCTAACGTATATATTTTTTTGTTTGAAAAGTGTCCGAAGTTATCCCCATAGGTGGGCTAACTTCGGACATGCCTTTAAAAATGTGTAAATTTGATGTTATACCAGTTAAAAGGAAACTTCGGACAAAAATATAAGTTTTAAAAAAACATCAAGTTCATTTTTTATTAAAAACTCAAAAAATTAATAACTCCAAACATTATTTAAGACATTTTTATTAAAAAAGATTGATTATTTCTAAAAATATCAGTCAAAAACTTTGCCTCTTCTTCGATACTCAGCACTGGTTGCTGTCCTGGATTCTTATCATGAATCCCCTTAATTTTATCCCCAATTGTGGATTTGGGAATCCTATAATACTCAGACGCCTCTCTTAAGGTTTTTCGCTTGGCTTTGACATTTGCTACTGCTTGCTGTAACCTCCCTGATGAATAATTTTGGTAGGGGCGACTCCCCAGTTGCTTTTTGTAACTTCGAACTATGTCCGAAGTTAGCCGTCAAAATATGATTTTTTTGCTTACGACCATCTGGGGAAAAAAATTGAACGACTAAAAATCTTCAAATTACATAAAACATTTTCAGATAATATACCTACTGAATACTGGAAAAAGTACGACTTTATGAATAATAGGTTTAGTTGTACGCCAGTTACTTTTTCCACTTTAAAAAAACAACAAAAATTGCATATTTACAAAAATTGACGTAAAAAATACGCCGGGCCCGAAAAACACTCGGTACTTAAGAAACGTGTGAGGGCAACTGTTTTAAATTTTAAACACGTTCCAGTCCACACGCGGCCGCTTTGATGATTTCGCTACCCTCCTCAATTTTTCTCTTTCAAGGACCCGTTGTCCGAATTTACCCGTGTTGTCCGAAGTAGCCCCGGTTTACGTATATATTAAAAAAAATAGTGTTCTATTTGAGACCTTCGTACAATATGATTTTTACATTTTATATGTAAAATTATATCCGAAATTTCATCGATCGTCATTTCCAATCCAACTGGACAACGTTTTTTTTTCGATCGTACGGTATTTTTTTTACATAAGAAACATTTCCAATGCTTTATTTTCATTGTAAAAAGAAATATTTTTTTCATTATTATTTGTACTATTGCCATCTACTGGCAAATAGAAGAAGCTTGAGCATGTATAAAATAGCTTTCTTTTTAGTAAAATGTCAATGTCAGCTGATTCATAGATTCCACATCCTTATTCGATTAGCCTGGAATAAAGGTATAGTGTATATTCATCCTTTACTTTCTCGTATCTTTAAATGAAAACAATAATGACAGAAAGCTATTCCAAGTTTAGAGGAATATAATGTCACTGTCAAATGTGTCATGGATTATAAATTACATACATTATTTTCGTCAATGCTCTGATAATTCTTTTTGTAGGAGTTGTTTATGAGAAATAACTGCGATTTGTGCGTGGCGAAAACACTATGTGAAAACAATATTGTGTATATTTTCCTGGAAACTATACGTACAAATAGTGCTAGTGATCTGTAGTGGTTGGTGTCCAACAAGTAGTTAAATTCTTCTAATATTAATAATTGGAGTCTAAATACAAGAGAACAATGTCTACGTTCAAAGTAAAGGTTCTTTATGACTTCCAAGGCGAGCCGGGAACAGCTGAAATGTCAGTGTATGCCGGAGAAACACTCTCTGTAACTCGTACTGATGTTGGGGAAGGATGGTGGGAAGGTCTAAATCCACAGTAAGTACAGGTTTTTGGCAAAAACGCATGGTTATAGGGTACAGAAAATTAAACGGAACATTTTATTTGCTAGGGGTCAATCAGGCCTGTTTCCCGAAGCTTATGTAGAAAGAATCGAATCGGGTCCACCTAATATACCTCCCCCTATGCCTCCTGCACAGTCAGGATGGGGCTCATCAACAACAGATAACCAAGATGATGAATGGGACGATGACTGGGATGACGATAATACATATTCGGAAATAGGCAATTCAAACAACAGTAATAATAAAAATAAAGTAGAACAAAGTTTTTACGGTATGTATTATTTAAATACTAAACTAGTGTTTTTTTATTCTTGCTTATTTTTTTTTACAGCAAATGAACCAAACCAAAACTTTAATAATCAGGTTTCCCAGTTACATAGACCAAATTATAATGCCGATAATGTTTCTTTGGCAAGCACTAATATGGGTGATAATAAAGGCACAATTACTAAGAAAAGTTTAAATATTTTTTCTGCATCTGTTAAAAGTGGTCTTGAGGGATATATTTTAGGTAAGTGTTGATTGTGTGTATTTTTATAAGTATTATTTTGTCTCTTTTTACTATAAACATGACTCAAATGCTGGATTATCTTCTTTAAACTTCATTAATCTTATCACAGAAATAACTTTGCTGAAATTGTTTCTAAGCGTACTGAAGTAATAACTGTAAATCAATAAATTTTGATATAATATGGATTATTTTTGAACATTTTTAATGTAAAACCGCCCAAAAATTAGTCTCTATTTTTATGTGATATATGTACATTTTTACAATTCAAATATGATTAGGGTGTTAAACCCTTAATTTTTTAGGAAAAGATACAACTTATTAATGAAGGACAATTACTGTTCATTACAGTAAAATAAAGATGTTAATGAGTATATGAGTCATATTGAAATTAAATGACCTTTCTGAGAGCAATGCACCTAAATACATATGCACTTAAGTATATGTATACTCTTGTTTTGATTAATATTCAAAATAATAGACTAGACATATAAGTGATTAGACAACGAACATTAAGAAAAATGTTAATCAGTCAAAAACATATTCAAAGGCTTGTTTAATTCTGGATATTTTAAAAAGAGCAAATAAAGATTTTTAATTTTTTCTATTCCAAAACTTGTTATAAAAGAAATAATATAATTTAATTTATTTGTGATTTAAAAATATTGTTTTATTCACCAGAGAAGGAATATAAAGTTGGCTGTACTTAAACTGCCGTTAAACGGTAGCTTACTAAAATGCCGTTAATAGGTATGACGTCGTTGATGTGACGCACTTGATGGCTTCATGAAATATAGGGATTTTATAAGGACTAACCAACGCTATCCACCCTACCAAATAATCAACTTAACCAACGTAACTAACCTCGACACTTATAAAAAATATAAACACACGATAAAAAATATAAAAAACAAATATAAATTAGTAAAAACCAACTAACCCCACCAAATAACCAACTAACCAATGAATTAACACCGTCCAAATAACCACGCTAACCAACCCGCCAAATAACTAAATCAATCCAACCAAAAAGAGTGAAACCAATGCAATAAGATCACGTTATAAGCAAAAAAAAAAATAAAAAAGTCTTGGTCGACGTGAGATTTAAACCACGAACCATTCGCTCACGAAGCGATAGCCTCAGCCACGGAGCCACAGGTGCTCTTGCAAAATGCTTATAGTTAGGCATTACTTTCCGCCGACATGAACGACGTCACAATACCTATTAACCGCATTTTAGTAGGCTACAGTTTAACGGCTGTTTAAGTACATCGTATAAAGTTTTCTTATTAGGTTCTTCTGAAATTAATTCCATTTTTTTTGAAATTTATAATTAATTATATTTTAATAAAATGACGGACACAACTGTTAATACTACGGACCTATGGACCATGGATCTTTCTGTTGGACTATTTGTGTCATTGTTTAATTCAAAAATTGACATATCTTTATTAATATTGACAAATAATAATAAGTAAATGCCAAACTAACAACATAATTATTAGCATAGATAAATGAAACAAGTTTAGATTGGAAAGTGCCCATAAGGACGATGTAAACACTATTTGGCCCTATTCTTGCAACGGTCGCCGCCCAAAGCTTTTGAAAATTTCGGAGCGGTATGGCTTTTTCCGGAATCATATCGCCAAATATTGTTTATTCAAATTTATTATTTTTTTTTAATTTTATAAATAAAATACAGTGTGTTGCATACAAAAAACTTTATTTTATATAAGGACACTAGCGTGTACCCGCGACTTCGTTCGCGTCGAATTAATCATTTGTAAAGGTGATGATAAAGCAAAGCAAGAATTTCCATTAACATACAAACTGGAGCAGAATCGTTGTTAATCAATTACCCAACTTTTTATCAACACCCTTTATGATTTCTTAAAAAATTTCAAAATATGTAAAAAAACAAAATAAATTATGCGTGTCCAAGCGTTTTCCCGAAAGACTAACCGTTTTTTAAATAACAAATATTGTAATATTTGAGGGGCGTTTTCACCCTCTTGGAATTTGAGATTCGAGAAACCCCTCCTTATCGAACCTCTACACCCCACAGTCAATCCGTTTGCCAAAAATCAGCTTTAAACGTTAAGCAGTTTAAGCAGAATCGCGATTACTCAGTGGTCATATTTTATGAAACACCCTGTATAAATTTTTAAAAAATCTTAAAATATGTAAAACAACAAAATAAAATATAAGTGTTTAAGAGTTTTTCGGAAAAACTCACCGGTTTTTAAATAAAAAATATTCTAATATTTGAGGGATGGTTTCGCCCCCTTAGAATTCGAGTTTCGAAAAATCCCTTCTTATCGAACCTCTACACCCTAAAGTCAATCCGTTTTCCAAAAATCAGCTACGTCAAGCGCTATAAGCAGGATCGTGATTAATCAATGACCAGATTTTTCGAAACACCTTGTACACATTTTTTAAAAATCTTAAAATATGTAAAAAACAAAATAAAATATACGTGTTTAAGCGCTTTTTCGGAAACTTGACCGTTTTTTAAATAAAAAATATTGTAATATTTGAGGGGTGGTTTCACCCTCTTGGAACTGCAATTTCGAAAAATCCCTTCTTATCGAACCTCTACATCCTAGAATCAACCTGTATGCCAAAATTGAGTTTCTTACGTTGAGTGGTTTAAGCAGGATCGTGATTAATCAGTATGTCAGTCACTTAAGGATTTTATATATTAGTATAGATGTATCATGTATGAAATACCTATGAAACATTGGAAACTGACGTTATGCCACGATCCACGATGGTTTTTGCAGTTCACAGTACACAGCACAATTTCTTAAGTTTTTAATGCCATTTTTTCGCAATTATCACAGGTTTGAGTATATAAAACTCACAAGATAGCAATAATTGCTTTGAAAATGGACGCTTTAAACACTTTTCGGAATCTTTTCAATGAGAGCGGTTTAAATTTTGAAAGATTTTATAATTTTTGAAGATTCTGACTTTGACAAGAGATATGGACAATTATTTCTGTTTTTATTTGCGGTTGTTCTTAGCAACCGCTACAGCACCGCCAGATCACGTACAACGGTCGCGATCCAAAACCATTTCGCGACCCAAAATTTTGACGGACATTTTAATCTAAATTTATTTCCTTTATCTATGATTATTAGTTAACACTTGGTTAACACTAAACGTAAGTCTTGATGGATTGGTTTACTATTTCTCAGGTTAATATATATTATGTCTCATAAATTTTCACTAGTGAAAAATAATTTTTTCATGATTTTAGTCTGGTAGCAGCCACTACAAGTAACTATATTTGAAACCTTCCAAAGATTCATAATTATCTCACTGATATTTTGGTATGGGCATAATGTCTTTCCTAGATTTATTCACTTTTTATTAAACCAATTACGATAATTAGAAATAATGAAAAGTAGACATAGAAATGCGCCATAAACATCGACAAGTTTATAGTTTAATTGTTGATTGAAGAAATAAGAAGATGTGCAACCTTATGGTCGATTTCGTGGCACAAAACATGTCCGAGGTGTAGCTGGCGTTACCGTTACATGTCCGAGATTTAGTTTAGTTCTGCGCAGCTGCGCGCTGATAGTCGTTTACATCGCAGCCGATAAAGAATACTGTACTGTAGTGCCGGTGGTTGCTGGAGACAGTGTTGCCAGAACTACGGATTAATTCATAGATTCACGGATTTTGGGTGCAGTACGTTAATAATAGGGATTTTTTATTATTAGTAAACAATTTAATGTAATATTATATGATTAAACAAAGAACGGAGTCAAGGGTTGGTTTGGAAATGAAGATCGTTGTTATTTGATATGTAAAATATTATGGTAAATGTCAATAGTCGTAATTTCCAAGCCAACTAAATGACTTTTCGATCATAGGAAATATTCAGTACCTACAAAAGAATTTTTATTTTTGTTGTGTATATTTAACACGAATAAATTTCCAATATATAAACGCGGATTTTCCATCCAAAGATATTTTCGCCAAACGAATTGCAGATATTACACATTTTAATATGGCAACACTGTCGCTTTCGTTTCTACACCATCTTCGATATGTCTTCGCTAGCCAAATCAGAGAAAATGAGTGTTTTATGCGTTGACTGCAGAACAAGTAGGAGCTCCACCGTACAGCACTTGAGACGTAAGGTGAAATCAAATCAGTCTTGTCACGAATTTCCCCATTAGGTTGCGTATCTTCCCAATTCTTTCAATCGACGGTTTAATGTCAAACAAAAGTAACAAATCGGTGTTTTAAGGTGGCTACTAATCTCCTCCTCTTCAGTCTTTAATGTATTTGATTCTTCTTTTTTAGTATTTTTGTTGAATAAAAAACCACGTTAATAAAATAATCTATTTCAAAATATTTTATTTACATCTACAAAAGAAATAATTCTAAACAAGCTATTGTTAACTTAAGGCAAAGTATTCAGAATAATATTTATTCTGTAAACATTACTATATGATAGATGTCATTAGTTGTCTGTCATTTTAACTTTAAACTAGCTTTATTTCTGGCATCTGTAGATGATGTATTTAAATAATTCTGTTTTTATGCTCCATTTCAGGAACTACAAAAGATGGAGGTAGTTCGATATCAAAAAGAATTCGTATATATCGAGACAGCGACGACATTCTAGGCCGTTGGGAACCTCTCACGCAACCCTACACAGTCCAAATTGCATCGCCGAAAAAAGCCACCAAAATGGGCGGCTTGAAGTCTTTCATCGCCTACCAACTGACACCCTCGTTCACCAACATCGAAGTATCGAGAAGATACAAGCATTTTGATTGGTTGCACGCCAGACTTACGGAGAAGTTCAATTTAGTAGCTATTCCACCGTTGCCAGATAAACAGGTGTCTGGTAGATACGAGGAGATGTTTATAGAGCATAGGAGAGCACAGTTGCAGGAATTCATTAATTATATGTGCAGGCATCCGGTGCTATCGTTGTGCGAGGTGTGGAACCATTTTCTGACGTGTACGGATGAGAAACAATGGAAACAAGGTACAGTATATTTACCCTAGTTCATTTGCGTGGTCTCTATTTGTCACTTCATTTGGTGGTATTTTAATGCATGCGACAGAGATAAAATTAAATGACAGGTTGACAGACAGAGAAACAAAATAAAAAGCGGCATACAGTGTTGCCGGTTTTTACGTTTGTAGGAAAATGTGTGTAGAAAAAATAAACTATTTTAAAAACTTTCATGTATACTACTGAAATGAAGGTAATATACAGGGTGGTCCGAACTGTATTCCGGAAACTTCGGCAGCATATTCTGCAGATAAAAATAAGTAAAAAGGTTCGTATAAATGGTCTAAATTACTTACTTTCGCAGATACTGGGCTTAGAAGTTTCATTTTTATTTCGATTTTTTCCAAATAATTTCTGAAGTAACGTCAATATTTGGATGAAAGTTGGTGTTTGGGAGTTTTTTTGACATGAGAAATTTGATTTTGATGTCTATATGACTGCTATTTGTAGAGGGCGCCACCTACATGTGTTTTAACTGTTTTGAAAAGTATGTAATAACTTTTCATCCATACCTGTATAAAACTAATCAGTGAAAAAATATACATTTCTGTGTTTTTTTAAATAAAAAATATCTCTTACTAAAAATCGCTACGAATAACTGTTTTCAAGATATTTAGAATGGAAATAGTAATTATTATTGACAAAAAATAATCAAGTTGAGTAGATAGTTATTTTACTGAAATGATAAATTTGCTCTTAATTTTTTTAAATTAATCATTAATTTTTCTTCAAAAAAATGATGATAAAACAGTTTCTGTTGAACTTTTGACACAAAATCATTTCAAATTTATTATATAAGTCTAATAACTATTTAGTCAATATGTTTAATTTATGTCAATGATTTCGATTTCAAATACCTCGATAACTATTACTCATAGCGATTTTTACCAAGAGACCTTTTTTACGTAAAAAACGTCGTAAATTTATATTTGTTTACTCAGTAGTTTTATACAGGTACAGACGAAAACTTATTACTCTTCATAACTGTTAAAACACATGTAGGTGGCGCCCTCTACAAATAGCAGTCATATTGACATCAAAATCAAATTTCTCATGTCAAAAAACTCCCAAGCATATTGTTTCATCCAAATATTGACGTTACTTCAGAAATTATTTGGAAAAAATCGAAATAAAGATGAAACTTCTACACCCTGCATCTCCAAAACTAAGTAATTTAGGGCATACATTTATAGGAACTTTTTTACTTATTTTTATCTGTCTTAGAATATGCTGCCGAAGTTTTCGAAATACACTTCGGACCACCCTGTATATAAGCTAACTATAATATATTACAGCTGTAGTAAAATGAGTAAGTAATTGTGAAAAATAAAGTTCCAACCCTGGATGCGATATTTTTTGTAAACGCCTACTTGTGCGGTTTGAACTTTTAATGCAAAATCCGGCAATACCGCATATAAGAAACGTATCAACCCAATTTTTATCTCTTTTTATACATTTGATTTTCCATTACACTGTCGACATCGCTGTTTTACATGTTAAAATCCAGACCACACAGTTCTGATGACCAGATCGGTATAAGTTTTTAATTTTGAAATAACTGTGCAATACTGACTTTTGCACATAATCAGTAATAGCCAAAATGTAATTCTAATACAAATTAAATTTTTTTAGCTGTTAATAATTTGAAGAATACTGTTGAGGTTTAAAATGTTGACTAATCAATCGAAAAATAATAAAATATATAAAATTTTATTATTTTCGATTCTACAGAAAAAAAAATCTAAACACATTGTGATAAATAATCATTGACTATACAGGGTGTGTCTCAAAAGTGGTTTATCCCCTATAACTTTTTTATTTTTTCATATAAAAAACGAGTTTTGGTATGTTAGTATATGACATAAAATAGGATTGATTGACGTATTCAATTGTTTCTGGTCACTTCCTGTTTCACCGGAAATGACTACAAATTTTGATTTTTAAATAGCACCCTCGGTATTTTTTTACTTTATGCTATAGAAAATGACATTCTGAATAGAATGACATATCATATGTCAACTTTTGACATTTTTGCTTTAAAAAAAATTGTATTTTAAATTATAATCTAGAGTTCCATGGCTGTGTTAAAACACTAATTTTTAATCAAGGAGATCGTCTAATGTTTTTCGTGTCTTGTTCTGGTCGGTTTAAAGATGCTCAAATCGTAGCTTTAATCATATCTCAATTTTTTCAAATGGAAGGAGGGTGGCTCATTAGCATATTTGAAAAAGCATTTTTCTACGAATTATTTGGTACCACACACTTGGTATTTCGAGTCAAATTGTCGTTATGAGCCGCATGTTACAATTTCAAATAAACCATATGAGAAAATGTCAAAAGTTGACCTATGATATGTCATTCTATTCAGAGTCTCATTTTCTATCGAATAAAGTAAACAAAAAACTAGGGTGTCATTTAAAAATCAAAAGTTGTAGTCATTTCCAATGAAACCGGAAGTCACAAAAAACAATTCAATGCGTCAATCAATCCTAATTTATGTCTATACTAACATACCAAATCTCGATATTTTATCTGAAAAAATAAAAAGGTTACAGGGGGTGAGCTACTTTTAAGACGCACCCAGTATAAATGTTATTCATAAAACAATATATACACAATCGACAATAAAATATCGACAATGTCAAATGAAAACCATGATTCCTCCTCTTTTATATTATGTGTGAAAAAATATGGTCACGTGCATGTCATATTTGAATATCACAACTTTATAAGTTAACAGAATGACAATGATTTCCCCCCTATAAAATATTTAGATATTTTATAATTTTAAGGTAAAAGAAATGCAGAAAAAGACCAACTAATAGGCGCTAGCTTTTGCCTGTCCGTCGATGCTCCAGAAAAAGAGCTGATGAACTCGCTGGTAGATGTAAAAATTGAGGAAAACATGAGGTATATGGAGAAAATGGACCAGTGCATTAAAAATCTAATGCAAACCGCACAAGATCAACAGAAAAAGTGCGAAAACATGTACAAAAGAGAATTTAGTAGGGTCGGAGAATCATTCTTTGCCTTGGGAAGTGCTTTTGAGTATAATCAGCAAGGAATGTATTCCAAAGCTTCTGTAGGTAAGTAAAAATTATTTTTTAGCTATAAACGGTTGCCATTTGATTGTTGTATTTGATGAAAATGAATAAAAATATCAGCTGAGCTTAATTATATTTCTTGTCTCAATGTGACGTAATAGCAAAGTTTATTTATTTTATTTTATTTATTTCCTATAGTATAAGATATTGATGATTAAAAGCCCAGTTTACTCCTTGAAAAGCGCTGACTCAATTTCAAATGTCAAAGACCTAATTTTTGAACTAAATTCAAAGGTAAAGTCGGTGAATAACCTATTAAAACCTGGCCTAGTGTGTACAACCCATAGACTTAAAATAAAATATAGACTACACTATTTACATCTCAACGCGGTCAAACAATTTTTTTTGTACACATGTCTACTTCTGGGTACACTCGACCGAGCCTTCCTCATCCAGCCTATGTTGTCACGTCTTTAATATTATCAATATTTTTTTTCTTGTTATACACATATATTGAGATATTAATACTACAGTTTATTAAAGTAGGTTTTAATATTCCATAGATGTATTAAATAGTCCATATACTACTAAATTATAAGTCGGATACTGTTTAAAAAGGATAAGTTCTTTACAATATGACAACAGCGATTAGAGGCGAGGGAGCCTATTCATTCATTTATTACCTTGTACGCGTCGCACGTGTGCGGTAAAGCTTTGTTGCCCTATAACTTTTTTATTTTTTTTCAGATAAAAAAAACAGATTTGTATGTTAGTAGGTATATGACATAAATTAGGATTTATTGACGTATTCAATTGTTTTTGATCTCTTCCTGTTTCACTGAAATGATTACATCTTTTGATTTTTAAAGGCACCCTCGGTATATTGCTACCTTATTCGATAAAAAATGACACTCTGAATAGAATGACATATCATATGTCAACTTTTGACATTGTCGCTTAAAAACAAATCGTATTTTAAATTTCAATCCAGGGTGCCATGGTGTTGTTAAAAACACTAAGTTTTAATCAAGGAGCTTTGGAAAAATAGTTTTGATCGTCTAATAGGTTTCGTGTCTTGTCTAGGCCGGTTAAAAGATGTACAAATCGTATTTTTAATCATACATATGTCAATTTTTTCAAATGGAACAAGGGTGACTCATTAGCATATTTGGAAAAAGCATTTTTTTTATAAATATATTGATACCACACACTTGGTATTTCGAGTCAAATTGTCGTTATGAACCGCGTGTTACAATTACAATTAAACCATATGCGAAAATGTCAAAAGTTGACATATGATATGTCATTCTATTCAGAGTGTCATTTTCTATCGAATAAAGTAGAAATATACCGAGGGTGCCATTTAAAAATTAAAAGTTATAGTCATTTCCGATAATGTTATAGTCATTCTTAATAAAATATAAAAGAATTTAAATACGATATATTTTTAATTTAATTATAGCTTCATTAAAATAAAAAAATTACCCGGCTATGATACGGAGAGTTCAGGTGTACTTGAGAAACGAAAGACAGTGTTGTGTTTCTCGGCAGAGTCGTCAGGGAACGACCGTTACGACAGAGACAACCTATCTATCGCTCGTGTCGCACTTGTTATAACCTAAAACAATAACACAACAATAACAAGACATTGTCTGACCGCATGTTTCAGCTATTTATGAATGAGATGCTCAGTCTATATTTTATTTTAAGTCTATGGTACCACCGGGTTACTAGTGATTTTATCTTGCGAGGAAAATTGCATCTTGGCTTCGAGGGTTTATGCTAAAAAATATCTAAATAAAAATCTTCCTGATAAGCGTTCCTTTGAAAAACTACTTGTTCTATTTCACAGAGCTTGTAGTGTGGTTTATAAAAAAAAACCTATTAGGCAGAAACCTGTCGTTGGTAGTGAAGGAAATGAATTTGCCGTAATTGGCTCTTTTATAGAAAATCCATATATCTACAAGGCATCGTAAAATAAGTCAAAGAACTGCTTCTTCGTTTTTCGTGATAAAATAATAAATACACATTGAACAAATATTATTTATTAAACAATTGTAGGTAAAGTAAATAAAAGTAAACTGCTATAAATTTAAATAAAGTCCATAAACTAATTTCGATTTTGAAAATAGCTACTAACTGTCACTAGAAACTTGCCATGACAATACCAGCCCTGTTGGTTACCATTTTCTTGAAAAATTGCTCTTTATTCAAAATTTGAGCTGGATAGGTATAGGAAACCCTAATATAGTTTGAAAGAGCATTTAAATCTGTTTTGACTTATTTTAAAAAATACGAGTATTGCATTTGAAATAACTTTTTATGTAAGTTTTTATGTAAAATAAATATTTAAAATAGACCAGCAATTTTTGATACCCCTATATACATTAAACGAAGCAATCAAATATTTCAGTAAAGTTTATTTCTCTGGTTTAAAAGCCAGCCCAAGATCTAATTCTGAAAAGTAATGTACGGGGTGTTGACAATCTTTTTTATTATAGCATGCATATTTGCCTCAAAAATCAAAGATTTTAAACATATTTAACCCTTATAATAAATGCCTTTTTTAAGCTCAAGAATCCAAAAATGAAATAAAATATCGGGTGTTCCGTAAGAAAAAATATATCTTTGGTATGGATCTTAGTTCTAAAACACCCTATATATTTCAAAATAATTTTAAATTGTGCACATAGCGTCCCCACATATGCCCATAAAATATTTTGTTTCTACATTTTTCCGTTTTCGTAAAATCAACCGAGGCGAATGAGAACCCTGTATATAAAGTATAGTCGAAAATGTAATTTTGTTGCTCTATACTAAATATATGCCACTATTTTTTTAATTTTCTGTCTCTAAATGAAATAAAAATGAGTAATTTATTTTATTGTAGATGTTAAAAATATCGGAACTACGTATCTAACCATAGCTAAGCTATATGAAGAGCAAGGTAAGATAGATTGGCAACCACTCTTTGACAAACTGTACATTTACAAAGGCATAACGGCAAATTTGCCTGAAGTGCTTAACATGCAAAGAATGGCCGAACAGAAGAAAAAAGACTGCGAAAGAAATCCACAAGTTCAACAGATGGCGCTAACCGATGTGCGAAGACGAGCCGACGTCATAACCTATACGGTTTTTGCCGAATTAAACCATTTTCAACAAGAGAGAGATCAGGATTTGAAAAGAGCTCTCAAAGATTTCTTGCAGGATCAGTTGAATTTTTACAAGAACATAGTAACGAAGATCGAGGATACGCTAAGTCAATTTGAGTAGTAAAAAATAGTTAGGTTAGGAACAAAGGTATTTGAATCACTCTTTTTCCATATCTCCTGTCTTGCCTTATCATTAAAAAATAGCAAAGCCTTTAGAGAACAGGGTTATTCATTCCTTAAAATGCCAAACTAAGATGAATGGAATTTATTTTGACGTCAAATGTCTTTTTTTTTATTAAATCCACATCTCAGTAAGTAAAGTTATGATCGAGAAAAAAAACAGCATCACATTGGCTTTTGAAATGACAATCCATGGATAATTTCTGTCAGTTCGACCTGTATACAGGGTGGTCCAAATTGTATTCCGGAAACTTTGGAAGCATATGAATAAGTATATATGCTTAGTTTCGGAGATGCAAGGTGTAGAAATTTCATTTTTATTTCGATTTTTTCAAATTTCTAAAGCAACGTCAATATTTTGATGAAAATTAGTATCTGGGAGTTTTTTGACATGATAAATTTGATTTTGATGTCAATATGACTCCTACTTTTAGAGGGCGCCACCTACATATTTTTAACTGGTTTGAAGAGTAGTAACTTTTAGTCCATACCTACTATATAAAACTACTGAGTAAAGAATTATACATTTGTGACATTTTTTACGTCAAAAAAGTTTCTTGGTAAAAATCGCTACGAGTAATGGTTCTCGAGTTATTTGGAACCGAAATTATCAATACCTGTCATTCACATAAATTATAAACATTCGTTGACTAAATAGTTATTAGACTGAAATCATAAATTTGAAATGTTTTTGTGCCAAAAGTTCAACAGAAACTGTTTTATTGTCAATTTTTTCGAAGAAAATTTTATGATTAGGTAATTAAAAAAAAAGTTCCCCAATTTATCATTTCAGTCAAATAACTATCTACTCAACATGTTTATTTTTTGTTAATATTGACATGTATTGATTATTTCCGTTCTAAATATCTTGAGAACGTTTGCTCTTAGCGATTTTTTGACCAAGAGACATTTTTTACGTAGAAAATCACAGAAATGTATATTTTTTTACTCAGTACTTTTATACAGGTACGGACGAAAAGTTATTACTCTACAAAACAATTAAACACATGTAGATGGCGTCCCTTACAAATAGGAGTCATATTGACATCAAAATCAAATTTCTCACATCAAAAAACTCCCAGATTCCAATTTTCGTCCAAATATTGACCTTAGTTCAGAAATTATTTGGAAAAAATCGAAATAAAAATGAAACTTCTACAACCTGTATCTCCGAAACTAAGCATTTTAGGACATACATTTACATGCACTTTTTTACATATTTTTATCTGCAGAATATGCTGCCGAAGCTTCCGAAATATCATTGATCAACAACAACAAATATTGATCACTTTTTCGACCAGTGTGATGCCGTTTTTGAGCGTCAAATATTTATAAATTATAGCTTTATGTTACACAGTGGTGTATGTAAGCATTTTTATGTGCTGTAAGTGTATTTTTTAAAAATATTGATGGTATATTAAGATCTAGATGTCCATATATAAATATGAATTCTCTACTAATTTATTACGTTCATCTGTGACAAAAGTTCATTTAATATAGTAATTTATTTTTATTAAAAAAAATAATCTCAAAATTCATATACAGGGTGCGCCAAAAAGTTTATGAGGAATTTTCTCGGTCCCTGTATATTTGTCGATGAAAACGTTTTCCATTCGATGTGAATTTTTTGGCACGCCGTGTATTTGCAATCGTGGTGGCATTCTTAACCTATTTTAAAAATATACAAAGTCATTTGTGATCATCATTTTTATACATTACTTTTTTTTAATTGTAGATATAAAGAAGCATTGATTAATTTTAAACATTTGTACAAATTATTGTTATTTATATTTTATTATCTAATCAGTAAGAAAGTATACCCTATGTATTATATTATTTTACTATTGCTATGAAAATCTTATTTTACTGTTAAAATTATTAATTTTTCGATTAATCGAAAGAAGAAACGTATTATTTAGTATTTAGCAACTTTATATAAATTGTATATTTTATTATAGTATTTATTGTAATAAATAATAAACTAATTATAAATAAAGGTATCGTTTATTTACTACTTAATGAATAGCATTAAGGATAGTTTATTTTATTTTCATCAAAATATATTATCTGGAAAAGATATCACAGTATGCGACAGAGATAAATATAAATTACCGTTTGACAGACAGAGACAAAATAAAAATGTTTCCGGTTTTTTACATTTGTAGGAAAATGTATGTAAATAAAATAAACTATTTTAAAAACATTCATGTATACTACTGAAATGAAGACAAGATATCTAAGCTAAATATAATCTGTTACAGCTGTAGTAAAATGAGCAACTAATTGTGTAAAATAAAGTTCCAACTGTAGATGCAACATTTTTCATAAACGCCTAATTATGTTGTTTGAAATTTTGATGCAAAATCCGGCAATACCGCATAGAATAAGTGTATCAACCAAACTTTTATCTCTTTTTAATATATTTGATTTTCCATTAAGCTGTCTGTGTCACTGTCTTACACGTTAAAACCCAGACCATCGGTATGTACTGCTGACATTCTTCACATTGAAAGTGGTTCCAATTTTTTTTGGTGGTCATATATTAAAAAACGTATAGTATAGATCATGACATAGTGGTATTTTTGAAATGTATATTTATAAAATTATATTTTAAAATTTGCTTTACATATTTGAACAGTTCAAATAGAAAGGATTGTATACGCAAAGTTTACAAAATAAATATTTTATGTTGTAAACTTTGGTATAGGCTGCGTTAATATAGTTCACCCTGTATATAGAGATCATTCCCCAAGTAGCATTTTCACGACTTGCGACCACATGTTTACTAAACACAACGTTAGACGCCATATTAGTTTTGTATTTCTGTGAATTAGGATTTTAAACAACGTTGCAGTTTGTACTAAATTAGGCTTCTAGCCAACGTCGATATCCAACGTCGTTTCGACCCAAAAATTATTCTCCAAACTAGTGCAGACTAGGGTTGGCACGAGGTTGTGCCGACGTTGCGCCCCGACGTTTGGTCGCGTGACACAACGTTGTCCCGACGTCCAAATGCTGCTTGGGTCCAACAATAACTATATTAATTATCAACGATTGTCATGTCCCAAAGGCCATTATTTTGTCATACAGTACTTATTGTTTCTTTAGGTATTTTTAAATCATACTTTTAGCCGACCATACCAGTGGGTATGGTATGCTATTAAGATCGGCAAAAAAAAAGTTTTTTTAATTTCACTCAAAATGAGTTATTTGGGTCATAAATGACCTAAATACAAAATATTTTCATGGTGTCTGTCCGTCTGTCCTTCTGTCTGTCTGTCCGTCTGTAACACGATAACTCAAAAACCGCTAAACCGATTTTAACCAAATTTGGCACAAAAATACTGTGGCACCCGAGAATCTGGCCATTAGTTTTTGGTGAGGGTGGGGGGTTGGTAAGGGAGTATGGGAGGGGGTAAAAATTTTAAAAAATCGTAGCTCCAAAATTACAGTAGCTAGCGAAACGCTGTTTTCAATTTAAGATTAGGAATAATATTTGCAACAAAATTTATAATAACATCAAAATTAGTCAAAGTCGCAGTTTTTTGAGATAAAAAAAAATGGAAAAATTCCTTTACTTTGAAACTAAAAGAACTGCCTACCAACTTTTTATTAACATATGTTTTAGTATGGGCGGCTATACGTGCCTCCCGGCGCCAATTTTTGTCCTTAATAAAGCCTTCAAACAATACTAAATCAGTTATTACTGTTAAGAATTTACCTATAGCTAACTAGAATAAGAGCTAACTATATTATACACGGTGAGTCATAAATAAGTGCAAATATTTTAAGGGGTAGTATTTCAACCTCAGAAACACGATGTTTTTTTTCGCGAAAAGTTTTCTGTAAATTTTTTATAGTTTTCAATTAGAAAACATAATTTCTTGATAATATGGTAGTAGATAAATCCAGAAATAATTTTTTTGGAAATTTTCAAAATAAAATATCTCGGTTATCTTGGATTTATTTAAAAAACGGTAAAGAGATAATATTATTTTTCTTTTAGGGAGATCTACCAGCGCTGAAAATATTTGTACTTATTTAAGAATTAATCTCGACTATGATAACGTTTTTATGCGATTGTACGAGATACACAAATTTTCGAAATTCTTCATTCATAGTCCTATGACAATCTATGACAATTATCTATGGTTGGAAGTTTTTGTTTAAAAAAAATATTAAATTTTAGATATTATTACCCAAACAACTTATTAGAATTACACCTACATGCATACATGAAGCGTAGTCATTCATGTATTGCCTACTGTATTAAACAAAATCTAAAAATAAAAACTGATTCAAAAATAATGTATCGAACTACTATTTTGAATAAAAATATTTAGAATTGCCTGCAAGTATGCACGAGAGAAATATCATTCGTTTATCGAAAATCCGAGGTATTTTTAAAATATTTTGTACCTTTTTGTCTTAGATAACAAATTAATCATAATTTTTTTTTAGTTTTAGATCGTTACAGCTTATGTAAAGATTAGAAAAAATCAGGATGGATATTGAAAACGAATAACAACATCTACAGAATGAGTTCAGAAGACGGTTGTTGTAGAATTAGCGTGATAAAGGCTATTCTCTATGCCTACCAGTTTGTTTTTTTGGTGAGTACCTACCTTTCACAAAGAAATAAGTAAAACTAGAATAAATACCCTTGATAGAATAAACATCACGTTTTTGTTTATTTTTAGTTTAACGAATAAAAATAATTCCAATATTATTATTATATTATTTCAGTATGATGGAAAATGTATAGATAATTACACATTGTCCGTTAATTATTTAGAAACTAGTGATATTTATATTTTTGTTTTGTTTCGGAAAATTGTTTATTTTTTACACAGGGTGAGTCAACAATCGAGTAAAGTCCATTATATTATTTTCTTCAAGATTTACAAAAAATGTTAAATAGAACAGTTATAGGGAAGGTTAAGAGTCTATTACGCTGTACTGTTCGGGTCGCTCTCAGGGGTCGGGTAAAGCCTTAGATTAAGAATAAGGTAAAGCGGATGTGTGGCCGAAGGAAATATATAATATATATTATACAGGGTTGTTCACCACATACGACACGGAGTATTGTAGCTAAACGAATAGATTTTTACAAGTTTTGGGTTCGTTGAAGCACTATTAGAGCTACAATTTAAAAATATTTTTACATGATACAGAGTGTCCCAAATAAATAAAAAATATCAAAGTTGTATTTTTTTAAATGGAACACCCTGTATATTATTACATTTTTAGTTTTTATGATTAAAATAAAGGTAAATTTGATTAAGGTTTATCACTCTTAAACCTTACCGTTTTTTAAATATTTTCAATTTTGTGAAATTGCAGTAAAAATTTTAAGGCTTCATTTCTTCAAGGGTATCAAAGTTTTTAATACTAGATATTTACTGAAGTTTAATTATTGATCAGTTATTGTGTTGCAATAATAAAAATAATACTACCTCATACAGAGTGTCTAAAAATTTATTTTAAATAATTTCCAGCTTTAAATGGCAATAACTTGTTTAATTTAAATAGAACACCCTGTATGTTTTAGGAGAATCAGATGCACAATTTAATTGTTCATCAAATTGTATTATACCATTTTTACCTATCCCTTCAAGTTTTCGTAGAAAATGCATTTTCTTATAATTTAGACCTCATTTATCAAAATACCCATGGAATATTGACATTTTAGATTGTTTTTAAAGCAACAAATGTACAGGTGCTAAAAACGATAATATTATGCCAGTATTGGTATACAACAATAAAACTATTGTTACGTTTTTCGTCGGTTCCGTGTGGATAGAAAGTCACAATTTATTTAAACACTATTTATTTAACACTAATTAACAAAAACAATAACGATAAAAGACTTATAGAACTATTTACAAACGATTTATAACTAAGAATTTATTTTGAATTTTAGCGCGTCAACTGCACTGGTATATTTATAACTGCCCCCTAGGCCACAGCCGCCGGCTTTTATACCGACAGGTAAAGAACTCTAGAATAGTCCATAGATCGTTAGGTGCGTAGAGAAGGTTTTCGAATGTTCTCGTATGTACTAGTCCATTCCAGTGGGACTCGATTCTTCTCGAACGAATGAATCATTACGGTGTCTATTCTTTAATGCGATGTTAAGGTCATCTGAGGGCGGGACATATAGTTAGGTTAGGTCGAGTCCACACGGGTCCGCAACACTATTTATATTTTTATAAAAGAGAAACATTAATTAAATATACCGCCATTATTTCCGCCAAAATATTAATTATATACATATTTAATTGTATTAGTTAATAAATTATTCTAAATAAATGTGGATTTGGAATCAGAAATCTATATAATAATAAGTTATGAAAATGAACGTCTCTATGGTTATAAATAAGCATCCGTCAAAAAATGAAATAACATTTTTAAGGTGTTACTTTTTACCACGCTGTCTAATACACATACAAAATTAAGGTTTTTAGTATTTGGAGCAATTATTATTAATCAACGCAAACAGTCAATTAATGTAGTTTGAATACTGGAATCATATTATTTTGTTCTCTTTTACAAATATTTAAACATTTTTTTTATTTTTTAATAACATAAACGAACTATATCGACAATATTAGTATCTGTACCATTTAAAAATTTGTTACATGTTTAAAAATAATCAAAAATGTCAATATTCCATGGGTATATTGATTTTTGAGGTCTAAATTATAAGAAAATGTAGGTAAAATATGATACAATACAATTTGATAGACAATTAAATTGTGCATCTGATTCTTGTAAAATATACAGGGTGTTCCATTTAAATTAAACAAGTTATTGCCGTTTATAGCTAATTATTATTTAATATAAAATTTTAGACACTCTGTATAAGGTAGTATAATTTTTATTAATGAAACACAAAATTTAGTAAATAGACAATATCAGTACAATATTTGGTTTTAAAAACTTAAATACGCCTGGAGAAATAAAGCATTAAAATTATTATTGTATTTTGACAAAAACCTAAATATTTCAAAAAGGGCAAGATTAAAATGCGGTAAACTTTAATCAAATTTACCTTTATTTTAATCGTAGAAACTAAAAATGTAATAATATACAGGGTGTTCCATTTAAAAAAATACAACTTTGATATTTTTTATTTATTTGGGCCACTCTGTATCTTGTAAAAATATTTTTAAATTGTAGCTCTAATAGTCCTTCAATGAATCCAAAACGTACAATTTGCAAAAATCTAAGAGTTAAGCTACAATACTCCGCGTCGTATGTGGTGAACAACCCTGTATTTCAGAAATCTGCCTAAGGCCAAAAACTTAGCTCGATCCTGTCGTGTTAAGCCACATCCAAAATTCCAAACACACGTGCTTTGATTAAGGCTTGATTAAGGTTTGCAGAGCTTCAGCATTTGCCATAAAATAGCGAGCAATTTGTTACAAAACCATATAAATTATATATCACTGTAATCACAAAACTTCAATCTATTTCCGTATTGTAACGGAATTTTAAACTATGTCTTTAATTTCGAGAAAATTTAGTCCAAACATAAGGAATATTTTGTTAATGTTTGACCACCAAAATTTTAAAAATAAAGAAGTTGTCTAAAAATGTGCTACAATACGGATATAGTATAATCCTTTATCTTTAATTTCCTTCTTTATTTGCGGAAAATATCTAGGCAGTTTTATATAAAACGTTAAATGGCGAACGCTTATTTTGCTACTTTTTCGGACTAGTGAAATGGACTCTTAAAATACACATTTTAAAATTATTGCAGAGTATACAGGGTATTTCAAAAAAGCGTGGCGGATATAACATGTTTTTAATGGAACATCCTATTTTTTATTTTATTTTTAGATTCTGCGAAAAAATTCTGTATCTTTTCCATATTTAATGTTATAAACGTAAAATTAATAGATTTTATAATAATTCAATTTGTTTAAACAAATGTTAGATTTCGGTATGGTAAAAAAATGTACCTATAAGTTATGTTATTGTTTCTGAAGTTGGAGTACCTACTCAAATTTGGTAGGAGAGTTTTATAGAGACGAAGAAAAAAATTAGTATCAAGATATTTGAGTTAAATGCTACAGGGTGTTGTAAAAAAGTTGTAACTTTGAAAAAAATGGACCGATTTCGTTGATTTTTTTACCATATTAAAATCGTTTTTCGTAGATTGATCTGATTTTTCTAAATTTTGTATGAGATTTAGTTTTATATGTTATACCGGGTGTGAAAAAAAGGAATGTAATTTTTGTAAATTTTTTGTTGCTGCCATTATGCAAAAAAATAAAATTAACTAGAATTATAAGTTCTGGGTATAACTAAGACTAATATCTCGGGACGTATTTGGAATTTTTACGATAACTCATCTGGAATAAAAGATAATCAATTTTTACTCTAACTTGTATTTTTTCTACCTTTCTTATGAGATATGCTAACAAAACTGAAATTAACTTTAAAATTGTAGGATATTCGTTACTTTTACAACGTGAAATTAAAAAAAAATGATTTAACTAACGCAGTTTAATACAGGATCTCTTAAAAATACGACCAGCGAAAAAGTAAAATTATTGTTTTAATATTCTGAACTTAGGTTAATATAAGGTTAATATAAAAGCTAAGTATTTGGTATTTTTGTAAAAACTCTTTTTGTGCCTAAAAATCTTTAATCGCTCTTAATCGCTCTAACTTAAAGTGCTTAAAAACAAGAGCGAGCAAAAATTTTTGAATGTGGAAGAATTGGCGAGTGCTATCAGGGACGAATGGGAATCTATTCCCCAGGATTTTATCAGGAACTTGGTGGATAGTATGCCTAGAAGAACAGCCGAACTTCTGCGGATGAGGCGGACCTACGCGGTATTGATGAATAATGTAAAACTCACATTCACTTTTTATGTAACATGTTCCTACATTATAAAATTAATTTCAGTTTTGTTAGCATATCTCTTAAGAAAGGTGGAAAAAATACAAGTTAGAGTAAAACTTGATTATCTTTTATTCCAGATGAGTTATCGTAAAAATTCCAAATACCTCCCGAGATATTAGTCTTAGCTATACCCAGAACTCTTATAATTCTAGTTAATTTTTTTTTTGGCAAAATGGCAGCAACACAAAAATTACAAAAATTACATTCCTTTTTTTCACACCTTGTATATCATAGAAAACTATATCTCATACAAAATTTAGAAAAGGCAGATCAATCTACGAAAAACGATCTTAAATATGCTAAAAAATCAATAAAATTGGTCCATTTTTTTCAAAGTTACAACTCGTTGAAAATGAGTAAAAAATCGCTGTGGTATTTAATTTGACGGGCAGTTAATTTATGAATTTCTTCGAAGTAATGATAATTGAAAAAATTGCAAATTGTTGGTGGCAAGTTCATTTCGCTCTTAAAAATTAACCAAGGCATGAGACAAAAATAATGCCCAAGAGACATAGTTCTGACAGAAAAATAATGTTTTAGGAAAATTTGCTGTCGAAATTATTGTACAGGGTATTTTAAAGTAAGGGTAAAAAACACCATTCGATAAACTCTTGTATAATAAAGCCCAATACTAAAGGTTAAAAATAAAGTTGATGTATTTATATACAGTTTTCCAAAAAAAAATCATGAAAATTTGGCTAAAAATAAAAAAACTGAAAATTGAGTGTATTATTATATATTGTATATTTATTTCTAGTTAACTGGGATAGGAATAATTGGAGTTGGAGTATGGAAGTACCTGGAATCGTACCATTATTTTACAGTAGTTGATTTGGACATGTACTCATCTGTGTTATATATGTTTATCATAACTGGTTCTCTAGTCATTTGTGCCTTTATTTTTGGATTCTGTGCCATACCAAAGAACAGAACTAAGCTTATATTTGTAGTAAGTATGATTTCAGCCGCTTCTAATTTGTTAAATAAAATTTATAATTACTTATGTGTATCTTTTTTAGTTTATTTTAGTGTTGGTATTAGTGTTTCTATTAGAGTCCTTAGTTGCCATATTAGCCTACGTGTATCAACACAGTGTCATAGAGGATGTCAACTCGAGATTGAATTCGTCTTTTCTTGAAAATTACGAGCAAAATGCCAAGACACAATCCATTAATTATATACAAGAAAATGTAAGTTTGTATTTTTTTTTCGTTTAAAACTTTGAAATCGTTCTTTCGGTGTAACTATATATTTTTACTTTTTTCTTGTATTTTAGATAATTCTTTGAGCAATTCTGTGTTTATTTTGTATTATATCTTGTTTATTTTATAATTATTAATCTTTGAAAGTGCCTTTTATACACACGAAAATCGGCACCCATAGACGCGGTCGCTGCCGACCGTGTACAGGGTAGCTCGAATTCGACGCTCATCATTGGGATTTCGGAAATCGTAAGAGATATACAGGATCGGTTAAATGGAGGCAAAGTTGCGCAATTTGATGCTCAATAAAATGCCGTATTGCATTGTGAAAAATTCCGTATACTTCCGAATATATTCGAAAAAAAAGGAATTTTCAATTTTGTTTTCTATTGTTTCCTGGCTTTATTTGTTAAGATAACTTAAAATGAAAAACACATTTTCATGGCCACTTTTTCTGCTCTATAACTCTGTGTGATTAAATATTGACTCTGACGTTTCGACTTCTGGCCACCATCATCAACTTAATTTTTTTAAATACGGACCCGACTTTTTTCAATTTAATTAAATCCTTTCATCACTCTTAAAACACTATATACAGTCACTTTGATATTTTCCGATGTTTCGTACAGAAAATTCCATCACCAGAATATTTTATACGGCATTTTATTGAGCATCAAATTGCGCAACTTTACCTCCATTTAACCGATCCTGTATCTCTTACGGTTTTCCGAAATCCTAATGATGAGCGTCGAATTCGAGCCACCCTGTACATTAATATGATTTAACATAATGTGTTGAAATTATACCGGATGCGTCTCAAAAGTGGCTCACCTCTATAAATTTTTATTTTTTCAGATAAAAAATGCAAAAATTAATTTACGTATTCAATTGTGTTCGGTCACTTCCTGTTTCACCGGAAATGACAACTTTTGATTTATTTAAATGACACCCTCTGTATTTTTTTACTTAATATGATAGAAAATGACACTCTCAATAGAATGACATATCATATATTATATCTTTTATAGTATTTAAATTTCAATGTAGTGCCATCGCTGTGTTAAAAACACTAATTTTTAATCAAGGAGTCTTGGAAAAATAGATTTGATTGTCTGATGTTTTTCGTGTCTTGTCCTGGCCGGTTAAAAGATTTCAAAATCATATTTTTAATCATACTAAGGGCTGGCAAAGGTCGAGATTTCCTTATGTAAGAAGAGTACAATGCGTTTATAATGTACTGAACAAAGAGAGAACAGTAAACACGTTGCCAAACGTACGAAATAAATCGAGAAACTGTGCTGTGCACATTGCTAATAGATGTGGAAGGGGATATAGCAGATTTGTCGTAAGTTTTGTTCGGGTTCTTACTATTAGCGATTCTGAACCGTCCTAGAACTCTACAGCGCATAGGCAAATGAAATAATTTCTACATATTTTCTTCTGCACATGCGTATCACAGTTCTAGGATGGTTCAGAATCGGTAATAAGAAAAAACCGAAGTAAGCTGTAGTTGACCGGTCGACCCAATCAGTACCTCTGTCAGTAGTTCTAGGGAAAGCTGTACATCATGCGTTCAGCTTCACGGTTTAATTACGTCTCGTGATACTTTATTTGTTTATTTATAAACGAGTTGTTGTAATTTTCCCTATAGCTTGAAAAGTTTTTAAGTGCAAGCAAGAAACACTTGCATTTTTGGTAAAAATAAGTGGAAATGAGTTGGTTTTCGACAGTGGTAGAACTCTGAATTCAAAAATCGATATCTCGGTTTTTTCAAAAACTTTCTTAATATTTCTGATGTATTTTCTTCGTAAAATCTTTATCAATAAACAAATTACACGATTGCTGAAAATTGCTATGCTCTAAAAGTAAATGGATGGGTTGTTTACAATTTTTGAATGGAAGAAAACAACCTTATCGAATTTTTCTTATGTAAACATATTGTAAAAGATCCTATCATCAAAATAAAAAAAAGTTTCAATATCTAAAGTGTTTCTTGAGTTATGGCGTGTTATGTGTTAAAAAGTCGAGTCTTTAAATTATCGCGATTACTGACGTTTTTTCATTATAAAAAATGACACCTTAAAGATATCCTTATAATTCCATTTCAGATGCTCAGAAACATTTCTAATGATTTTATCCAGTTATCTTTTCGAAAAAAAAGTCTTTTAAAAATAAGCGGTTTGCGATCGTGATTTTACTTTACTCGATAGGGAAAGGCGTACCGGCAACGCCGCAACAGCACTCCGTCGCATTTCTCTCACGCCGACTTAATAAGATCCCTATGCGTTTTACTTCCACACATGTAAATACCGACCCAAGAGTAACAGTTGCCAGCACGGTATATCATTTTGTCAAATGGAATAAGGGTAGCTCATTAGCATATTTTTAAAAAGCATTTTTTTGGAATAATTTGGTACCACATCCTTGGTTTTAATTGCAATATGTAATTTTAGTTAAAATGTTGTGGAGCGCAAAGCTATACTGACTGGAAGTATAGTAAATGGCTATATGGACATCCAGAAATACTCAACAAAGTTCCTGATTCTTGCTGTAAGACGGTCTCTCCGAGGTGTGGTTATAGAAATCATCCATCCAACATTTATTATGCGGTAAGTTTAGGTTCTTAGCGTCTAGCACGTATAAAACTATTTGTTACGCTTAAAAATCTATTTGTTATAAGCTTGATTTACATGCATCCGTTAAGCTTGATTTTCATGCATCGCATCGGTTGTCCGACGATACGGCCATACAATATTAATTTTATTGGTAGAATTTAAAGACTCTGATTGGTTAGAAAATAACGCAGTTTTTAAATTTATTGCATTTTCATGCCTCCGTTTATCGGATATATGTTATTTTATATTTTCGTTTCCATAACGATTTTGCTATTTTACTTATATTTTTATTAAGGTTAGATTAAATTTGTCAAAACGTCCGTTATCGTATGAACGGGTCCGTTGACTGACTGAAGTAAAATATTTACGGATGAAAAGTGGCGCGAAAACGCTATGACCCATCAGATCACTATCGGACAAACGTACCAACGTATAAAGCCGGAGTCTCATGTATCCGAAATCCGATGACACGACGATCCGACGGTGCTCCCATTGGTCGAAATATGTTTACACCAATTTTTATCCGATATTTTTAACTACTCGTCTGACGTCGTATAAAGTTAAATTTTGTTTAACTTTTGTACGATATCGTGTTTTTTAACCTCACTTTTTTTGAAAATATTGGTTCTTAAAAACAAGTTTAGTGGGAAGTGGGCAATTTCGGGATATTTGGCGAGGAAGTTATTTTTATAAGTTTTTCTCCAATAATACATGTAATAATGTTGATACTGTTGATAGGAATGACAGGTCTAAATGTCAAAACTGTCAAATTTCGGAACGAACTTTCGGATGTATGTGACAGGCTTTTTTTTATTTCAAAGGATAACTTCAAATTTCGGATGTCGTACCATCGGATTTCGGATGCATGAGACTCCGGCTTAATGCTTGATTTTCATGAATCCGTTATCCGACGATACGATGATACGATATTGATTTTATTGGTTGAATTTAAAGACTTCGGTTGGTTAGAAACGATTAACCAATCGAAGCCTTTAAATTCAACCAATAAAATTAATATCGTATCAACGTATCGTCGGACAACGGATGCATGAAAATCAAGCTTAACTGATGCATGAAAATCAATCTTTATACGTTGATACGAGGGTCCGACGGTGCACTGATTGGTCATAGCATTTTCGCGCCAGTTTTCATCCGTAAATATTTTACTTCAGCCCGTTAACGGATCCGTTTTTGTGGATCCGTTCATACGATAACGGACGTTTTGACACTTTTTTGACAAATTTAATCTAACCTTAATAAAAATATAAGTAAAATAGCAAAATCGTTATGGAAACGAAAAAATAAAATTACACCAACGTATATCCGATAAACGGAGGCCAGAAAATGCAATAAATTTAAAAACTGCGTTATTTTATAACCAATCAAAGTCTTTAAATTCTACCAGTAAAAGTAATATCGTATCAACGTATCGTCGGACAACGGATGCATGAAAATCAAGCTTTACACGTAAGAAATTTTTTTTACGCACATTTTTTTTTAACTTGTTATTAGTTAATTAATATACACGGTAGTCCGAACTGTATTCCGGAAATTTTGGCAATATATTTTGCAGATAAAAATTAGTAAAAAAGTTCGTATAAATGTATATTCTAAAATGCATAGTATGGGAAATACAGGGTGTAGAATTTTCATTTTTATTTGATTTTGATATCAATATGACTCCTAAATGTAGGGGGCGCCACCTCTACATGTGTTTTAACTGTTTTGAAGAGTAATAACTTTTCGTCCGTACCTGTATAAAACTACTGAGTGAAAAAATACATTTCCGTGAGTTTTTACGTAAAAACAACTGTTCTCAAGATATTTAGAATGGAAATAGTCAATACATGTTATTATTGACAAAAAAATAAACACGTTGAGTAGATAGTTAATTTAGTGAAATAATAAATTTGGGAAATTTTCATTTTTTTAAATTAATTATAAATTTTTCTTCGAGAAAATGATAATAAAACAGTTTCTGTTGAACTTTTGACATAAAAACATTTCAAATTTATGATTTCAGTCTAATATCTATTTAGTCAAAATGTTTAATTAATGTCAATGATGACAGGTATTGATATTTTCGATTTCAAATATCTCGACAACTATTCTCGTAGATATTTTTACCAAGAGACCTTTTTACGTAAAAAACGTCGTATATGTATATTTTTCAACAGTTTTATACAGATACGGACATTTATTACTCTTCAAACCCGTTAAAGAATATCTAAGTGGCGCCCTCTATAAGTAGGGCGCCAGACACCAATTTTCATCTAAATATTGACGTTACTTCAGAAATTATTTGGAAAAAATCGAAATAAAAATGAAACTTCTACACCCTGTATTTCCCAAACTAAGCATTTTAAAACATACATTTATACGAACTTTTTTACTTATTTTTATCTACAGAATATGCTGCCGAAGTTTCCGAAATACAGTTCGGACCACCCTGTATAATTGTTACATTTTAGGGATGCGATGAAAGGGTAAGTGAACCTTTGAAGTTCAACCTTCTACTGATTTGCGCCGTCTCACTGGGAGTCAGTGTTCTCCAAGTGATTGGAGTTGTTTGCAGTATCAAGTTGTTTCTGAAATTGGAAGCTGAAGACAGGAACTACAATCCTCAGGTCAATGGAAACGAAACACTTATTCCTCCATAAATTTAGCCAAAAGTAAACTTAGCTATTTAGAAAAACTGTGTTATTGTGTCAGTTATAGAAATAAAAGAATGCCTTTATGTAAAACATTTCCAAAATATTTAAATAAATGTATGTTTTGGTGTCTATCTGGTCGAATGAAAATTATGTCACAGTAGCTGAAGTTATTTGTATTTTTGTTAAACATTTAAAGTAAATTATAAAAATATAAATACTTAAAAAAAATATGTAGTAGGGCAGTATTCAGATTTAAAATTTTACTTAAAAATACAATCACGAACAACGGTCAGTGTCAAGAAGTTGATGGATGATGGACATGTAAAGATCCAACTAAAATATCATTTCACTGCCTATCGTGATAGCGTTTTTATTCTAATCCACGTTATTTGGGGTATTAATAAAAGTACTCTGTATTAGATAGTACTTTTACAGGGTGATTCTCTAACTAGGAATAAATTCCGGAAGTAAAAGATATTTGATTTTTCAGAACTACAGTATGTCCCCGGATTGTCTTTACAAGAAGAAAAAAAAACTTTTTTATTATTGACATTTTGAGAAAAATGCATTCTTAATCAAAATTATTGCTTGTTTTAAAATGGTTAATCTCGTTTATGCTTTTCCAAATTTCCATACAGTTTTTGAAAAAATTAAGAAAAACATGAAAATATGGTTGAATTTTTTCCAAGGCCTAAAAATGAAAAGGCGTTTAATTAATATTATCGTTTCAGTTTGGTGGAATTTAACACTTTTACCTGTCTTAAGCCGGAGTCACATGCATCCGAATGCCGATGACACGACGATCTGACGGTGCTCCTATTGGTCGAAATATTTTGACACCAGTTTTTATCCGATATTTTTAACTAATCGTCCGACGTCGTATAAAGTTAAATTTTGTTTAACTTTTGTACGATATCGTGTGTTTTTTAACCTCACTTTTTTTGAAAACATTGGTTTTTAAAAACAAGTTTAGGGGGAAGTGGGCAATTTCGGGATATTTGACGAAGAAGTTATTCTTATAAGGGTTTCTCCAATAATACATGATATGAATCTATATTCCACGCAGCAGAATAACAGGTCTAAATGTCAAATTTCGGAACGAACTTTCGGATGTATGTGACAGGCTTTTTTTATTTCACACGATAACTTCAAATTTCGGATGTCGTATCATCGGATTTCGGATACATGAAATTCCGGCTTTAAGCTTGATTTTCATGCATCCGTTATACGTTGATATGATAGTCCGACGATGCTCTGATTGGTCATAGCATTTTCGCGCCACTTTTCATCCGTAAATATTTTACTTCAACCCGTCAACGGACCCGTTCATACGATAACGGACGTTTTGACACTTTTTTGACAAATTTAATCTAGCCTTAATAAAAATATAAGTAAAATAGCAAAATCGTTATGGAAACGAAAATATAAAATAACACCAACATATATCCGATAAACGGAGGCATGAAAATGCAATAAATTTAAAAACTGCGTTATTTTCTAACCAATCAAAATCTTTAAATTCTACCAATAAAATTAATATCGTATCATCGTATCATCGGACAACGGATGCATGAAAATCAAGCTTTATTCATTTACATTATTCTTTAAACTCAATATTTGTCTTAATTGTAATTTTACGTACCTTTTAAAAATAGTTGTAAACAATTAGGGTTGTTATATCAAAAAATAGAAAAAATCGATGACGTCTGATCGCATATTTGAGACAAGCCATATAATATTTTCTCACGGGAAGAAAAGCGCAATTTAAGATCCATATATTAAGAAAACAAATATCTCTGAATTAGTGAATTTATTCCAAGATGCAGAATCATCCTGTATAGGTATTTAAAAACTGTGGCAAATTATTTAATATCTAAAAATATAGATATAGATGCGACCTTTATTAGAAGTAAAAGAGAGTATACCGGGTGCGTATCAAAAGTGGCTCACCCCTATAACTTTTTTAATTTTTCAGATAAAAAACGAGATTTGGTATATTAGTATATTCAATTGTTTTCGGTCGCTTTGCGAAGAATACAACAAGGATTTTTTTTTACTTTATTCGATAGAAAATGACACTCTGAATAGAATGACATATCGTATGTCAACTTTTGACATTTTCACTTAAAAAACAATCCTATTATAAATTTCAATCTAGAGCGCCATGGCTGTGTTAAAATCCTTATTTTTGACCAAGCAACCTTGGAAAAATACATTTGATTGTCTAACGTTTTCCGTCTTTTGTCCTGGCTCCTGGCGGTTAAAAAGATGCCCAAATAGCATTTTTTGATTTGGAACAAGTCTTTTATACAAATAATTTGGTACCGCACCGTTGGTATTTCGAGTCAAAAATTCTCGTTATATTTATGTATCCCATGGCAATCTAAATTAAAATTTAAAATGCTATCTTTTTAATTGAAAATGTTAAAAGTTGACATATGCTATGTTATACTATTCAGAATACCATTTTCTATCAAATGAAGTAAAAAAATACCGAGGGTGCCATTTAAAAATCAAAAGTTGTAGTCATTTCCGGTGAAACAGGAAGTGACCAAAAATAATTGAATACGTCAATCAATCCAAATTTATATCATATACTAACATACCAAAATCGTTTTTTTTTTTATCTGAAAAAATAAAGAAGTTATAGGGGTGAGCCATTTTTGAGACGCACCCGGTATTCTTTGTGTGTGTTATAAAGCCATTAATAATAATTTTAAAATTGAGTTAAAAAAACTTAATTATATACTTAGTATGATCATAGATAAGGTATTTGAAGAGTAATCCTAGTCGAATATAATAATTATATAGAAACGAATGTTCGATACCTAAAGCTTTAATAATAGTAGTGATGGATGTTTATATTTAGAATAGTTTTTGTTATGTAGTGTTAATAAATACATAATCCATTAAATAATTTAATGCTGTTAAAAAATATTTATTATAGAAATAAAATACTTTAAAAAATATTCGATTTCTTTTCATACTTATAGACTAATTTCTTTAAATTTTGTTTTTATATACATACTACCAATGACTAAAGAATATAAGAACATGTAACGCCCATATACGGGCTGCAGCAGAAATCTGTGACCTTAGAGACCTTTCTTTTGATGGCAAACAATGAGTCATCATTTGGTCACCAACGACAATTTTAGCGATTTTTAATAGTTTGTGTGTAGTAAACTTTGTATAAACTTTATTACAATGGTGATTATAGTTGTTCAGCTTTCAAGTGTAAAAGCAGCAGCGCCAGCGATAAGAAAGAGCCAGGAGTTACTTTTCATAGGTAAATAAACAGTCCACTCCAACTTTTTAGCGTTTTCTTATTGAATTCGATAATTATTCTTCAATTTCAATTAACATCTATATGTACTTGATATGTGCTATACGTCGATACTAGTTTTGTACCTTTTGTTAACATTTTAATACTTTTTTTTCGTAATTAATTAGGATGATACACCATAGGCGTAGTCAAAACAATTATAAAAACATATAAATATTGCTTCAAACAGCTAGGTTAAGAAAAATATGTGCCACGGCACTGTTTGGTGACATCGGCACAATTTGCTCTCGGGTGTTATTTGTCCTTGGATTCTTTAGTCATTGCATACTACCAAATACGTTTAAATAAAATATACGACGGCCTCCCCATAAGAGCAATGAGAGGATTTACGTCCCAGTATTGAAGGAGGACAGAAAATCGAGTCGAATGTTCAAGACATAGGTTCATCCTTGTTTAGTCAAACCTCCTACAAACCAAGGATAGACTTATGTAGGAAATGCATTGAGATTCTATAGCCAACCTTCAATATCGGGACATGAATTTAAGCGGTACCCTCCGTATACTTTATTTTAAACGTATTTGCATACTACAAACTAAAGTAATCTGTGGATATACAGGGTGACCCAAATTCGAGCATGACCATTGTATGCAATTCTATGTCCAATAAACGTGTGTCTTGAAAATTAAGTTAAGATATTCAGAAAAAATTGAAATATTGTAAATGGTTTTTATTTCTTTTCGGCTTTATTTGAAGAGATATTTTAAAATAAATGAAACTCTTCTAGTTACTTTTTCTTTTTAATGTTATTAATAATCGTAAAATCCATGAATGAAATACCATTACTAACTTTATTTCTTTTTAAATAAGAACCTGAATTTTTCAATTTTCTCTTTTAACGGCTTCCAAGAATGAACTGCGTGATCAAAGGTTCCAGTCTCCAGAAGATGGACTCAGCGCCTTCAAAAACGCAATATTGAAGATCATCATCATAATTTTCAGCTTATTCGACCATTTCCAATTATGGTAGAGCCTCACTCACATATTTCGATACTATTTTTGTAGTTGGGTCCATTGTTGTCTATTTTTGGCTATACGGGCCCAAATAATCCCTGCTAATTTCCTAATATCATGGTCCCATCTCAGGTTCGGTCTTCTTCTAGGTCTCTTAATTCTTCGTGGGTACCATGCTGTAATTTTTGTGGTCCATCTGTTGTCTGTTCTTCTTGCCAGGTGTCCTGCCTATTGCGATTTGAAAGATTTGACTCCTGCGGGTGACACCTATTATCTAGGTCTTTTGTCGTATCCACTCTATTCTTTTACGGTCTCTCTTGACTATTCCCAGCATATTTCGTTCCATTGAGCGTTGCAGATTCATATGATGTCCGTTTTAAGTGTCCAGATTTCGCATTCTAGATTTGAATATGATTGAGTTTCTTCCATAAGTCCTCCATGCTTGAGTCTTATTGGAAAAGTTTATATTTTTCTTTAAAAACAATAAATTTTTATTGACTTAACTGTTCGATAAAATGATAACAGCCTGTATATACGACGCCTGTACCATATATATTTTTTTATTAATATCTATAATAAATAAGGAGTTTTGTGGAATGCGAAAAATAAATTATTTTACGGAGCTACGGGGATAACGATTACACTACAAAATAAACAAAATCATACTGTCTCATGTTTGCTATCCACCTGTTATCAGTTTTATTAAAACAAGTGTGCTAAGATAAGCGACAGAGATAAGTCGAAATGGTTGTTAATTGAGATAAAAATGACTAATCTTCTATTTTATGAAAAATTACTAATAACGCTCAGATAAATATTTTATTTGTTACATT